GGAGCTATGCTATGAAACATATTCTTGGATTCGAACAACTGGGGAAATTTGAATATAACTTGTGGATTCGAGTATTGGCCTCAGCCAGTGTCCCTTTACCCAGCCTGTGCATCCATCCTCACCTTCTACCCCCACTCCCTGCTGGCTGCTAACGGTTCACAGCTGTCCCCTTCTCAGTTTCAGCCTGATCCCACAGGGAGCACTACAGTGTGAATTACACTGCCACCTTGAGGCTCAGGTGGGCTCAGGCCCCATATCAGTCAGTCATTGGCTACAAGCTATGGAGAAGAGCAAGGTGGCCCAGGAAAATTCTGTGAAATACTTAGGGGGTAAAGCATTATGATATTTACAACATTTAAATGGTGCAATTAAAATACACACAACACACAAATTATAGGCAAAGCAAGATGGCAAAATGAGATAAATGTCAGATCTAGGTAGAGGCTTATTCTTTCAATATTTCCAAATGTTTGAAAATTTTCATAACAATTTGAAGCGGTGAAAAAAAGGAGATTGCGTCAATCCCAAGCTTGCTCTTTTTTTGTGGGTTGCCATACTGATACTGATGTCCAGATCCGACCAGCAGCCTAAAGAAAACCTGCCAGTCATCCTGAATGCATCTTCTCCCTCATTTTCCACCTGAGGTTGGTCACTACTAGATCATGTCAATTCCACCCCTGAAATAGATTCATCATTCTAAACTGCAATTATAATCATATTCTTCCCCTCAAATTCTTTGAGTGTTTCCTCATTGTCTACACTAAGATAAACCTCTAACTCCCTGGCATCGTGTATGAGGCCCCTGTCACATGGCCCTTGGCTTACCCTCCAGCTGCATCTCCTGCCATTTGCACCCACACCTTGTGCATGATCTATTCTGAACAACTTAAGAATTCCTTGAATATGCCATGATCCTCCTTATCTTTTCAATCTAGGAATACTTCCTTCCTCCCTGTACTGCTGGCAAATTCCTACTCATATATTAAGAATTAATTCAAACTTTACCTCCTCTGGGAAGGTTTTCTTGAATCTTCCAGGCAGTTAAGTGGTCCCTTTTTTGTATTCCTACAGCACACTTCTTACACACCTCCCTTTATAACACTTTTCACACTGCTCTAAATTATTATTTACATGCCTATTTTTTCTCTAGTAGAAGTGAGACCCAGGAAGGCAGGGACTGGACTATTCATATTTGTATCCCTAGCATTCTGCACAATGCCCACCACTGTACTTAATAAATATCTGATGAACAGCCAACATTTTTTAGCATTATGAACTTACCACAGCTGGTGAGGGAACGTGAATGCTTGGGACAGATCGAGGCCGCACATGATTGGCCAAATGGCAAAGAACGACACCATCAGTTAGAGCTGCTCCCAGATCACAAGGCAGAGATACTTTCAACCGGTACTCAATATGCTAAAAGAACAGGAAAACGTGCAATATATTAACTGAAGAGTGGCAGTAACACAGGACATGACAGAGCTACAATGGAACATATTTAATTAGAAATCAAGATAAAAAGCAAATAACTTAAGTACCACAATCCCTATTTTATCTTTCTATCCTAGGTCAACAACTTAAGGAGATCTAATACATATGTACGACAGCCAGGCCACACTGGTGCAAAGTACCACAAGAGAAATTCATTTACAATTTTCTGATAAAAAAAACTAAACTAGATTCTCTTTCAATTTCAAAATAAACACTATATATGATGTAAGTGTGATATGTATATAAATTATTATTACTCTTACAAGATTTCTTTACAACATGTGGCAGAAAAAATTTTTAAATGAGTAGGTAGGGCCAGGATTGAGCTTTACAGAATAACTCATCTCATTTTCTTAGTAAACAGTTGAAAAGGAGTTCCTTAATAGCAAAATTTGTTTTACATTCATCACACAATGGGCAACACAACACACAATGGGCACTTGTTGATTCTATTAAAAATTATAAGTCAAATGAACAAGTGATTGCAAGATTATGGTCTATAGTAATATCTCTGAAAAAGTGTAATTCAAAGGTAATGTACACACTTTCCGTAGTTGATCTATTAATTCCAGCTCTTCTTCTCTCTGTCTTGAATTCTGTCTTATCATGGGATCTGCAGAATCAGTGGTAGGTGCAGAAGATAAAAGAAGGGATGAAGCATGACCTAAAAAAATATTAATATGTAAGACAGAAAGGCAATTGCCACTGCTGGAAAAATACTCAGAGCCTTCTGATCCCAGTTTCCTTGCAGTATAGCACTTTCTACTTCTCAATTGACTCTCTTAAAAAAAAGTTATCATGGAAATTTTCAAATATGCACAATAATGAGAAAAAACTACCAAACGTCCATTACCCATTTGGCTCAACTACTTTTGTTTGTTTAACTACATCCATTTAAAAATGTTTTTATTGAAAAATAACACACAGAAAACTACACAAATCATAAGCAAACAGCTCAAAAAATTATCCTCAGAGAGTGGACATAACTAGGTCAATAAAAGCAACATTACCACACCCAGAAGCTCCTCTTGTGCTCCCTACCCATTAGGACCCAAAGGTCATTTCTAACACCACAGGTTCTAACTATGTACTTCCTGACCTCTAACACCATAGATAAGTTCTGTCCATTTTTGAACTTTCTACAAATGAAACCACATTGTATGGATGTATATATGCTTTTGTGTCTGGCTTCTTTTGATCAACACTATGTTTATTTATCCATGTTTTGTACATTAATTTGTTCATTTTCATTGTTTATATGGTATCCCATTGTACAAACATACCACAATTATTTAACCATTCTTTCGTTGATGGACATTCAGTTTGGGGCAATTATGAATAATGCTGCTATGAATATTTCTGTACATTACCTTTTGGTATACACATGTACATATTTCAGAAAGTAGAATTGCTACTCATGTTCAACATCAGTAGCTAACATAAACAGTTTTCCACTCTAATTTACAATCCCACCAGCAGTGTGGCTCTGGTTTGAGTTTAAATCTCACTGTGAGTGCATCTATCAGTCACATTAAAAGTAGTTATTTTGGACTTGAAATGTTTATTTCTACTTCCAGTCATCTTCTTGGGGGGCCAGGCAGAAATCTGTCATATTGAGTAAAAAACATGAGACTAAATAGATTTAAAAAAAAAAAAAATTACTGATTCTTTTTTTTTTAGAACACAGAAAACAGCTTTTATCAACAGAAAAATCTGAAAAAGAGCTCATTACAGAGAGGAGGAACATTCTCCAAAGCCTTGAAAAAGTATCTTATTTTTTCAAACACTATAACCTGCTTTTAGGTGGTACTAAGAAATTTTCTAATTAAAACAAATTCAAACAAGATTCTCCTGCTTTAAGGTCCATGAGATCACAGACAAACACAGAGTTGAAGCTTTTGCTAAGGTGGCGTCTCGGGGCTGACGTTTAAAAGCATGAAATAGTTAATGTCACTGTAAAAAGCTCGCCCCCACCGCCCCCCGTCTAGTCACTACCACCTACCTTTATTTGGTTCTGCCCTCACACCTGCTCGGAAGAGGAAGCTTTCAGGGCGCTGGGGCTGGTTTCTCTGGACAGCAGCAGGAAAAGAATATGCAGGGGAATGATGAACTAAATCAGCATGAAAAAGCAAAATAAGATTAAAGGAGGTGGAAAAAATTAAATATAATAATAGACTAGCATGTCACAAAAGTTCAATAAATGGAAAATAAAGAAAAAAATCAAATTAAACATGGCAATCATATAAAATGATAATTTTGTTTATTAATACAAAATCTGGGGGCCGGCCCAGTGGCGCAGTGGTTAAGTGCGTGCGCTCCACTTCAGCGGCAGGGGGTTTGCAGGTTCGGATCCTGGGCGTGGATTGACGTGCGGCTTGTCAAGCCATGCTGTGGCGGTGGCCCATATAAAGTAGAGGAAGATGGGCACAGATGTTAGCTCAAGGCTAATCTTCCTCACAAAAAAAAGAGAAAAAGGAGCCACAGCTATCTAGTAAGTAACTTGTCAGGAAAATCCTGTTAAAGTGATAATCTTGATGTGGATAATTGCACCTTTGTGTCTATTACCTGTTTCTGTTGTGGGTGAACTTGATGCGGCCTTAGATCTGTCATCATTCTGTGGAGAAACAGAGATACATCAATAATTATTATTCAAGAAGAGGTACCTTCTACATTTATGGAAACTTCAGGATTATAAAAGAAAAAAAACCATGCAACTCGCCTTCAAAATTAAGTCTAGAAATGAGAATTTGGTGTAATAAAATATTTTGTGTACTTTTTTTAAGATCATACTTTTTATTTAGTTCTATAGAATACAAGGTTTATGTAACACATTCTCTAAAGATAATCCCCTTATATAACAGGCCTTTCCCTATGGCTATGAAAAATGATCATTCTAAGGTAGAAATTTCTATTGGGAAAGATATAGGAGAGAATAAAAATTTATTTCATGATAATGGTTTTCTGGTATAGTTTCTAAGGTATTTCTCCCCCCTCTGGAGAATAAAATTTAATGTTTTAAGAAAGAGTAGTGAAGACTTCCTCACTTCAGTTAGGAAATGAGGTGTTTAAAGATGATAGATAGTTGCATTTCCAGACTAGTATTTGAGTCCAAAATGTTTTTAATTCACTGACCAAAGGAACTGTAAAAAGGAGGGAAAGCTGGGGTGAGCCCGGTGGCGCAAGCGGTTAAGTGCACATGCTCCACTGCGGTGGCCGGGGGTTCGCAGGTTTGGATCCCGGGTGTGCACCGACACACCGCTTGTTAAGCCATGCTGTGGGGGCGTCCCATATAAAGTTGAGGAAGATGGGCACGGATGTTAGCCCAGGGCCAATCTTCCTCAAGACAAAAGGGGGAGGATTGGCATCAGATGTTAGCTCAGGGCTAGTCCTCCTCACAAAAAAAAAAAAAAAAAAAAAAAGGAGGAAGAGCTAGCTCAACTGGTATAAAGTTTACCTAAAAAAGGGAAAATGTAGTTAAGCTAATTTAAAAAGAAGTGTCAGTTGGTTGGGTTAAAGATATTGAAAACCTGCTAGGCAAGTAGAATCAAGAAGAGCTAGAATAACAACAATTTTTCAGGCCTTGACATCTAGTTACACTCAATAATTTAAATATATTATAATCTTATGATTTGATAGCTAAGACGTTTTTGAACTAACAGAATGACTTTAAAACACACACACACACACACACACACACACACACACATCTCCTCCCATACTTTTTTCTCCCTTCTGGTTTCAATATTTTCAGAAATCTTTTATCGCTAGTTAGTTAGGTCAGATGAAATTAATGACGACAGGGAATTTTAACTGTTAAAATAAACAAACAGAAGCCATGCTGTTGAGAAAAATTCTTGGACTGATCTGAAGACAATTTTGTGGTTAATGATTCCTTGGTTTGATACTCTGAGGCTAATAATTAAGACTTAAGTAAGCTGCGCTCTTGAGTGAAGCAATGTATTACATCTCCATTAGTGAAAAAGACAACACGTTCATCAAGTTTACAGATGCCAATAAACTAAGTTTAGGATGTTGAGAAGAAATGGAAATTTAAATAACAAATTTAATTTAAAATAAGAGCAACAGGAACTAGTAAAAGGAATGAACAGGAAAATGAGGCAAAAGCTAGATATCTTTATAAGGAAACAAAAGACTATCCTTATTTTCAAGGAATATGAGATAGGAAGGAGAAAGCTAATTAGCTAAACAAAGAGCTGTTTAAGGACCAATGGTACAAATAGAAAAATGTAAAAAGCAGAGATTATTCCAGATATAGGGGGAAAATATTTTTTTTAACTTAAAAAGACCTACTGGTTGGAGTTAGACTAGAAATTTAAGCATACTCAGAAATAAAATGACACAGTTAATAGGCAACTCTATTAGATGAGAAGGAAGAGCTGAAGCAAATTCCACTGAATGGCAGCAAATGTTCTCCACCTCCAGAAACACCACAAGATAATACACAGTTGGGTGTAATGAAAAACAAAGCTAGAATAGAGGGGACTTGTAAAGTGATGATTTTTAAAATGTACTTTTATTGAAACTATAAATCTAAGTGACTTGCATTCCAGGATACTAAAATAATTAGTTCAAATCACTCTGAGGCCACTGACTATATTTGAGAACTCTTAGAGAACTGGAGAGCAAAGAATGAAAACTGACATGAACTCAACTTTTATGCCTGGTTAAGCCACAAAAGAAATAAAATCGTGCCTAATGTATACCTGCTATAAAGTAACCGGGATACAAAAAATACAAAATAAATCTTTTTAAACTGACCATTTGACAGTGCAGCAGGTCTGACAGATAGAAAGTAAGTTAGACTTACCACACAACTTTTGGCATATTCAGATTTGGTCTTTCTCAACTGTGATTCTGGGAGAGAATAAGCCCCAATGCCCTAAGGTATCCACTGAGTGTAATGAATTAACTTCTCTTCTATACACCTGGAATGGTACTAGTTATACACCCTCCTTGAGAGAATTTTGAAAACAGTCCCTCAAATAATTTTCTGTGTTGTTCAAATAAGGAACCTAGCTGAGAAAGGCTAGCAAAGGGTTAACACAGAAGAGAATTATAGATAAACGTTTTTCAGGAGTCATCCAGGTACATGTAGCATCTTCAATAATGACCAGAGAGAAGGTTTATCAGGTTTACAGATGTTATAAGTTGGGGTCAGCATTTAGAAGAACATGATGCAAGAATGTGAAAGTATTCTGGTAAATTCAAGATGTAAAAATGTTCAAAAAGCAAAATTAAATATTTAGAAAAACAAAAGATACAAGATATAGAAATTAATTATCATTTAGGAGTATAACTAAAACATTTGAGAATTACAGTGGATACTAAGCAAAACGAACACCAAAATGGAAAAAGCCAACCTAATGCTCAGAGTAAGCCACATGAAAAACGCTTGTTTTGTGCTCAGCACCAGGCAGGCTCTAATGAGGGATATATTTCTAGTTGGGGACTGTGGAGCCAAAATGGAAGGCAGAGAACTTGTGAAAGTTCATAACGATTCACAAGCTGGGAAAGACACGTAAAAGGACCAGAGTTTATTTAGAGAGAAGACAAGGGTGGCATCATAACAGTTTTCAAATATAAAGATTTTTACATAGAGACTGCTAAATAATCAGAAAGTCTCCACTCTGGAAAGAATAAAAGAAATAAGCGTAAACCACAGGGGAACAGACCTAAGTTAGATAAGGAGAGGACCTTCTTGACAGTGAGGATTATTAATCACTGCTTATGTTTCACATGATAAAAAATATGGAAATACCACCCCTAGAGGCCTTCAAAAAATAAAATACCCCAGGTTCTTTATTTAGGCTCGCAGGCCATATGATTTCCGTTGCAACCAGTATTCCAACTCGGCTGTTAAGTGCGAAAGCAGCTACAGACATATACAAACAAATAAGAGCGGCTTTGTGCCAATAAAATTATTTACAAAAACAGGTGGCCTGGGGGCCATAGCTTGCTAACCTCTACTGTAAGAGAGTTTTGGCAGTGACAGTTTTGGGGACTAGGACTCAAATTATTATGCATGCATATTAGACAACAGAGTTAATTTGATATTACATATTAGCCAAAGTAAAATAATAATTCATGACAAAAAAACAACCTTTGATAAGAAAATTAGAACGACATTTCAAACCAAATCTGAATATAAAGAATTAATGCAGGCTCTATGTTTCCAGCATGATAAAACGTTCCAAAAATTTCAGTGAAATTAACGTTAAACTCAAATAGTTTTATAAGCTTAGGTATATTTCACACAATCCTAGGTTTCAGACTGCTGTCAGACCAATCCACTGGAAAATTTAAGACCTCCCCTGCACACTCCCTCCCCAAGTTCCTGGTGAATCACAACAAGAGATACCTTGAGAGGCGTGAAGGCAGAAGAATGGGGCAGGGGAGCAGCACAGCCCACGTGACTCAACCCAGACAGCGACTACATTTCAAAAGAGAAAGAAGAAACAGAAAGCAGCAGTTATGTTAGCAAAATGTCAGGCAAGCAGGCAGGCGGGCAGCTCTGGTCAGCGCAATCAGAAAAGGAGAGATCACTGACAAACTTTCAAACGGTTTACTAAGACAATGATAGGGGAGAAAGAGAATACTTGGGGGGAAAAGCTCATAAGTTTTCCCACCTGTATAATTCAAACTATTTCAATACCTCATACCACATTATTCAAGAAATGAAAGACAAGATTAAAAATGATTTTATGTAGAAATAAAACTGAAAACATCAAAATTTTTTAGCAAAACAGCCTTAGAAATTAATGAGTCCTGTGCTGTTCCTAAGATGGGGAAATGAACCCACAAAGAGCTCATTTTAACTGAGCAGAACTGGCTGAATAAGAACAATATTTTTTCAATAGTAATCCAAATTAGATCTATTATAATTCCATTTAACGGCTCTGATGTGAGAAGACAGGACATGAGGATTCTGCACCATAACCTAAGGAAGAACCAGCATCTCATTTCTGCCTCTGTGAAAGTCCAAGTGACCTATGAGAGGGCAAGTGGAATTTTCCTTTTCTTTGAATCCTTTATCCTTTCACCAACCTACCTACAACTAGTTACATACAATAGAGATATAATTAGAGATACTGAGTGTTAGGATCTATTGTGCAATTACAGATAAAAGCTGCTCAAAACATGACAATTTTTTCATTGGGTGGGGAGTGGAAATCAGAGAAGACAGGACTTCGACAAAAGGCACTGGATAAGATTGTACCTACTAAAACGACAAAATGCCAAAGGCTTAAAGGTATCCAAGCCTTTGAAAGTTAAATAATTTAAAAAAATTTAAACTAGGACCACAAATGTCTGAATCATGGGAAAAATGAACAAGACCACATGTGGGTGCTCAGAAAAAGGTGTGTAGGTGGTCAATAAAATAAATACAATTGTATTTTTAATGAGCATTGATAGATAGCAATGTCTTTTTTTTTTTTTTTTTGCAAAAGCACATAACACACACCGCAACATAATCTATCTTAAGGCAGAAAAAAGTGAAGAAAGAATTGTACCAAAGAACAAGACTGTGACAACAGTCATACACTGTGTCTGCTTCACCTGTTTAGATTTCCTGGGACTCCTTATAATCAAATATACTGGAATTACTGTCAATCTCAAACATAAAAAAGCTAAAAGCCACTATGTCGGCAAAGAAGGAACAAAGAGTGGAGGGAAAAGGAAGTGAAATGAGCCTGGATTCTCTCCAGCATCTAGGGATGGGATTTACATGCAGATGCGTGAATAGACAGACTAGAAACGAAAGCAACCAAAGACTGAAGGGCAGCCCTAAGAGAACGTTAGCGTAACTGATACTAAATATTACTAATACTTATTTCGAATTCTCTATTTCAAGGTATTTAAATCAAATTCAACATTTACCTTGCTATAGTATCAGACATTTTCACCATGAAACAACATAATGAGCAATTATTAGATGCACAACATTTATGTGTTCATTCGGGAAATATTTTCTAAGCACCTAATATATCCCAGCAACTATGATAGGGACTGAGTATACACAGGTAAAGGCAACAGAGAATATAATATCCCTGTGCCCATGAAACTTACAGTCTAGTAGTCTAATAGGGGAGAGATATAAAACAATTAACACTCACCTAAAAGTACTATGAAGAGAAAAAAAAATAACCGTGGAAAGATAAATTTGATTTGGGGATGAGGGTTTGCAAAAAAGCCATTTTAAAGATGTGACATTTAAGCTCATACCTGATAGATAAGTAGGAATTAACCAAGGGGTATATGCAGGGAGGGAGAGGCATTCCATGCAGAAGGAATAGCATTTGCAAAGGTCCTGAGGTAGGAAAGGGCTTGCCATATTTGAAGAGCTGAAAAATTGCTAGTATAGCACGAGCCCAGAGATGAGAGACAGAGAATAGTCAGATGCGCAGGAGGTTGTAGGCCACGTTAAAAAGTTTGGACTTTATTCTAAGCAGCTTGTAGGTTGTGTTAAGAAGTGTGGACTTATTCTACCATATGAAGCCACTGAATAATAGTTTTGAGAAGATCAGAGGCCTGATTCAAAATCTGACTCTTTTTGCACAGTGCTGGACACTATTTGGCCTATGAAAATATGTGAGACATGGTTCTTGCTTTTAAAGGCCATCTAATTTAGGTCAGACATGAATACTGATAACTAAAATACAAGTGTATATGTTTTGAAAATGGCTGAAGGTCATTTCAAATTTCATGCTCATGGGATTTTGTTGTTTTTCCAAATTCCATTTTTTCCTTGACAAACAACTCTGGGCACTCAGGTTTATATCACTTACTATATGTGTTATTAAATCTCATGTTCAGTTTTCTAAATTCTTTTCAATTATAGTATGAAGGCAACACAGCATAGTGTCTAATGCAGGTTCTCAAATCAGCCAGATCTAGATCTGAACCCAGCCTTGTATGATTTAGCTATGTGTCCTCGGACAAGTCTCATTCTGGACAAGACATTCTGTGCCTCAGTAATCATTTGTAAAATGGTGATAAGTTTAACCTTAACTCTTAAGGTTGCTGTGAAGAGTGAATGAGATAATTCTGGTAAAATGTCTAGATCATCACAGGTTCTCAATATTTTTCTAAATAAATAAATATTTAATTTATTTAAATTATTATTTGCTTCTCATGCCAATTAACTTCCACTAAAACTCCAGAGGTTGGTGATTGTATTTATCTATAAGACTGCCCAGTTAAAATGTGCTTTATCCATCTCAAAGGAAATGACGACTGCAGAACACACAAATTTTGACAATGGAGGTTGATGTAACAGGAATCTCATCCTGAGGTACGCAGTTCACGCAGGAGTACGCACGACGGCAGCAGCACTAGCACGTAAGACAGGAACTGTTACAGACACTAGACTTTTGAACTTCTAGTTTTCAACACTACTGTGAAAAAATAACATAAAACATGATGGGAAACGCAATTACGTAAACGGTTAGAATTCTCTTGCAAGGCTGATAAAAGCAAGACTTTCAATAAAGCATGTGATATTCATTTTCAGCTGATGAAACAGGCAATAAAAGTAACCAGCGTTAAAGATGGTCAGTAGATAGCTTTTCAAGTTAATGTTTCCCTGAGTTTAAAAAATGGGCATAGAGGGATAATCTTGAGACATAAGTATTTTTCAAAAAGCTCGGGATTTTCAGTAGCTTAAAATCGATAATAAAATAGGATGCCAAATATGCAGTTGTATAATTAGTGTCATGGAGTAAGACAATCCACTTAACACACAGGTGACTCATGAGCCAAATTAATGATTAATAAAGTAAGTGCACCTGGAATTAGAAATGACATTTAAGGGCTGGCCCCGTGGCTTAGCGGTTGAATGCGGGCACTCCACTACTGGTGGCCCAGGTTCGGATCCCGGGCGCGCGCCGACGCACCGCTTCTCTGGCCAGGCTGGGGCCGCGTCCCACATGCAGCAACTAGAAGGATGTGCAACTATGACATACAACTGTCTGCTGGGGCTTTGGGCGGAAAAAAAAAAAAAGGAGGAGGATTGGCAATAGATGTTGGCTCTGAGCCGGTCTTCCTCAGCAAAAAGAGGAGGATTAGCATGGATGTTAGCTCAAGGCTGATCTTCCTCACAGAAAAAAAAAAAAAAAGAAAAAGAAATGACATTTAAAAAACTAATATATTATGCCCTCTCCTCCCAACACGATACAAAGCCAAAATGGTTCTCAATGTAAATGTTTTACTTTTGGAAACACTAACAAAATATTTGAATCATAGCTGCATAACACTGGAACACTGGGTAAATCATGAACAGTCATGTAGGGAAACAGTTCTAGCGATTTGTAAAGCATTTAGCAATGATGCTTATCATGTTTTATGGTATTTAGATCTTTTCTGAATGAAAAGTACAATAGCTACTCTCCAATCTCTAGACAAGCAATGTAAAACTCCATTGTGTGCAAGGCTCTTACCACTAACAAGGCACTATCATCAGTGTGCTGAGACCTTCTGGATGGGAAGGGACACTGGAGAGGTGGAGAAAAATGAAGCAATGTCAAAAACAAACTACACACACACGTGACGTATTTCACAAATACACAAGCAGAGACATATTAAGACATACTTGTGAAGATGCTGACATATAGGACCACATTCACAATCATTTAGAATTCATGCACTATAACAGCTAGTAAGTTGATTCTGAGTAATGATTTTTCTCCCAAAGAGCTTAAACAACTTCAAATATGATCTTATTCCCTAAAGACTTTCTAAAGCAAGGAGGGAACAGGGATTATTTTCTGTTCACAAAAGAGAAAGCTGAAGTATCTAATACATGTAGCAATAACACAAAGAATTTGTGGTCAGTGAGCCAGTGACAAATTAAAAATAAACCCAAGAGTCATGATTTCTAGTCTAGGCATTTCTTCACTACCTTTCTCAGACAAAACAAGAGCACAGTTGGAAATTTTAAAACTATACATCTTGGGGCCGGCCCAGTAGCATAGCGGTTAAGTTTGCACACTCTGCTTCGGCGGCCTGGGGTTTGCCGGTTCAGATCCTGGTTGCGAACCTACTCACTGCTCATCAAGCCATGCTGAGGCAGCGTCCCACATAGAGCAACTAGAAGGATGTCCAACTATGACATACAACTATCTACTGGGGCTTTGGGAAGAAAAAGGGAAAAAAGGAGGAAGATTGGCTACAGATGTTAGCTCAGGACGAATCTTCCTCAAAAAAACCCACAAAACTATACATGTTATTTTTCTGAGACGCTTTAGTGTTTAGATAATAAATTAATCTAGCATGACCATCAAGAAAGAAATGTTGTGGTTAAAAAGGAAGAGTATATTAATTCATCAAACTTTGGTTGTCAATGTTTGTACAGAATTATTACCATGTGAAGAAAAGGCAACTGAGAATGCTTGAGTGAATCTCTCTCGTATTATACCAATGCATAAGTTCTCATATAAATAAACAAAAAGTAGTTATTATACGTCCAATAAGATTAAAAAAAAAAACCCTTATAATGGATAATTTAAAACATTTCATACAATACATTTTACCATTCCAGAAACACTTGTGCTTTTTAAAGACACCGTGTTGAAAATCGATGCTTGTAAAGCCCCGTGTGTTAGGTTTTCAAATAACTTATGTTACAAAAAGCGAAGTCAAAATTCACATGAAATAATGCCCTTATGCATTTTTCCAGGAAGTAATGATCATAAATTGAAAAAATGAGAAGGCAAAGACAAAGGAAAATGGCTAACTTGAGAAAGCCAACTACAATAAAATATTCATTTAGTAAGCTTCATTTTAACAGATCAAAACGGGTGTGTAACTTTTAAAAAGGTTAAGCAATTAATTTTACGTGTTAACTTGTAATGCAAATGTACTACTTAATATTATAAAACTAATGTGTACAAAGTATAATCAATAACATACATACTTAGGAAATAAGCATTGAAGCTGAAATACTTTGTAGGGTCTTTGTTGTTGTAAAATACTGAGACCATTCACCCGTGCCAAACACAGCTCTCAAGACAATCTCACATTACACAGTATGCTTCGAGAATGGACGGGGGAGATGATACCTCTGGTGGGATGGGTAAGGGAAATAAATAATTTCCAGCTGCATGTGTATAGATTTAAAAACCCCCCATCTAGAGACTCTGATAAACTCCCTGGCCTGTGTCTTCTTCTCCCTAATAAGTAGAACTTTGTAAGGAGAAAAAAGAAAATGGCAATATTTTGGTCACTGAAAACACATGATAATCACATGCAAAACACTTCATTTCCATTGCAATAAGAAAAAATTCCAAAGTGAAGGTGATTACATAGACTTACCTCACCGTCTAAGAGGGGTGGTTGCTTTTGTGGACTTTGTGATACTTTTTGCTATACAAGCCCCACCCCCCCAAAAAAGAGAAGTTGGTTAGAATCTGGAACACTGGAAATGATAAATTCTATTTTCTAAAATAATTACATTAATTTCTGTATCTCTTGTGCATAGCACTTTTCTAGATTTTTAGATGTTGCACTTTCCCTTAAATAGTTTACAATTAAAATGAGAAAAAGCAATAAACTGACAAGCAGTATTTTTGTATATCTATACGTATCTAGAAATAAAAATTTTAAAAACTATGTTTCTTATATGTACATGCATACAAACACACTCACAATCAGCAGTGATTTCTCACTATATTCTCTCAATGAAATCATTCTCTCCCTCTCTAATGGCTTCAAATATCACCCTAATGCTGATAGCTTTAGCTCTCTTCTATCAGCCAAATTTCAACTGCCTGTGGAAACTCTCTACTTGTAAACCCCACTCTCACCTCATGGTCAACATATCCAAAACCAAACTCACAATTTTCCATACTAACTGGCTCTTTTCCCAAATTTCTGTTATTATGTCAAATAACATTGTAACAACTGTATTTTACAGTGTCAGTGTTTTACAATGTGTTCTTATACACGTATCTCAAGTGTGTACTTCTTTTCTTACTCTGTGAAATAAACAAATATCATAATCGTACTCAAAGATGAGAAAATTGAGGATAAGAGAGGTTATATGATATGTGCAAGGTCACAAAGCTGGCAAATAGCATAAGTGAGATTTGCACCTATGTCTTTTGACTCCAAATCCTACATTCTTTTCACAATGCTAGATTCCCATTAAAAGTATTCTTTTAGCCTCAAAAGCTTGCCTTAGGACTTTATTTTTTTTCACTCATCTTCAATGATTTATTCAACACTCACTACACATCTATGTACAAGACATAATGATGCTTCTCTTGAAATCTCTCTTATAGCTACTTTATAAAATCCATTGTGGTGGTAGGGGGTGCAGCACTCACCATACTAGTACAAGTATTGGGTGCATCCATAATAATTCAAAAATAGCTAATATTTAATAGTTAAATATTACACATATAAGGAAACTAAAGGCACAGAATGGTTCAGTAACTTTCCAAAAGTCAAGCACATGCTGAGTAGCAAAGCTGGATTCAAATTCAGATATTTCTGATTCTAAGCTCTTACTACTATGCAACACTGCCTCTCCTTAGGAACCTTAGAAATCATCTACATTTACGCCTTCATTTTGCACCCTAGTCTAATTACTGCAATTACTCTCTATTTCATTTTCCTCATCTTTCTTTCTAACATATGCTAACATGAGATTAGTTTTTCAGAGGTATCTTTCCTCTCATGTTTTTCATCTGCTTAAGAACTTAAAATTGTTCTCTTCTGCCTAATAGATCAAGATCAAACTCTAATTTGACATTTAATCAAGACCATCCTCAACGTGATTATCTCTTATTGGCTACGTGACTTTTACAGAAGGCAAGCTAAATGAGTTAATTTACATAAAATGCATAGAACAGCACTTAGGACACAGTATGTGTTAGCCACTGTTATTTACTGGGAGTCAGTATAGCATTGTGGCCATAGAGTAGGGTCTAGACCCAGGTTGTCCTTTTTTTTTTTTAAAGAAACTGTTCACTTTCTGTCAACCTTATTTCCATTTTCTGTTCAGTCTGTCTTGATTAGGAACCTCGCTCTGCCACTTACTAGCTGAGTATTTAAGCTTAGGCAAATTGTTATCCCCACTGAACATCAGAGATCATCATCATCGGCTTGATACATTTGGAAAAAAAAAGAGAATTTATCATGTGTATGGTACTTAAAGAAGATGGTCTTCGGTTAGAGTTATGAGACACGAGAGAAAGCGTTTAGAGGAAAAGAGTGATTCATTCATTCAATCATTCATTTAACAAATATTTATTAAGCTTTACTATGGGCTAAGAACTGCTAAGATCTAGGGATACGGCCATGAACAAACAAGACAGACATGGTCCCTGTCTTCATGGAGTTTACAGATAAATAGGAAAGACAGATATTAAACAAACAAAAATACAAATAATTATTTAATTACGAAGAAAATCCAAGGTGATTTCAGAAAAAAAAGGCTTGAGTACTATAGGCAAAAAAAATGAACCAGGTTTAGATATACAGGCTGTAAAATGTTAAAAGAAAAAAAAAAGAAGTATTAACAGGCGTTGTTAACTGAGTAGATGTGGAGAGAACAGAAAGGAAAGAATCAAAAACGACTCTGAAGTACTAAGCCTGTGAGCCTCGCAAATTTTTGGTATTCACTACAGTGAGGCAGTTAGAGACAGGTTCAGCTAAAACTAGTTTACATTTGCATGGCACTTGACAGTTTATGCAGCACTTTCATTACCTTATTGCTCTTTATTGATGCACCAAAGACTGAGAAAATGGCAGCTGGATAGTGCACTGATACATCTAATGACAGACTGCTAATTAAGAGGAAGAGACTACAGTACTATCCTAAGAGCAAGATCATCACTTCTGATTGTCCTCAAGCCTATCTGTATGAGGACAATTAATCTAATCACAACTAGGAGACAGTCACACTATTTACTCCAGAGTCCTTACAATGAGAAAACAGAAGTTGATATTTTAATTAAGACAATAAAAACTGACAGCCTCAGCAAAACAAATAAGCACTTACTTCTAAGAAACTTTAGGAATATCATTCAATGAATTCAAAGGACTCACCTTGACAAAGTCCAGGACAGCATCTCTCTGAATCTGCTTGGTCCTTATTTTCTCCTCCTCATACTGTAGAGCAGCAAGCTGTGCCTCTCTCCGGGTGCGCTCCACTAACTGTTCTCTTCTCCGATGAAGTTCCAAGTCTGTATGTGACAACTGAAACAAAAGTATCATTTTGCATATGCAAGCAGGGATAAAGATTAACTTATCCATATTCCTTAGCAATTTAGGGAACTACTGCTGACTCAAGCATCTTTTACTTTGCAGTCACCTTGAACTTCTTTGAATGTGTTTATTGCTAATCTTTCCCCATCTTGGCACTGTACTCTTATATGTACTACAAAGCCATCATGTGGGTAAAGGTTAACTTTCTGTCTGGTGTCTAAAAACAGTTAGCAAGTATCAGGCACACATGTTATAGTAACTTTATGACCAAGGAGACAGGTAATAAAGTTTACAGATATCTGGCAATTAATGGTATTTAAGTATTATAAAAGAGGAAAACCATCTTAGTTTAAAAAAAAATCAAAACTAAAACAGAAAAAAAAAATTTACCTGACTATGACTTGGTGATAGTGCCGGGAGAGAAGATGGCTCAACTGGAACCCTGACCCAAAAAAGAAAAAAAAGAAAAGAAAAACTCTTTGATAAGACAGACAGATACATAAAAGACAAGTGAAATTTTATTGTTAATGTAGCTTTCTATTAACCAATAGACAACCTGTCTTGTCAGCACTGAAAGACTAACTTCATAAACTTGAGCCCAAGTCATTAAATTAAGCTACAGGAACACCTGATGTCCCCAACTCACGTTTCAGGTGATGGTATCACTGATCAAGCTACGGAGAGCTAACAATGGTCTATGTCGGCCAGTGCGACAATATAGTTATTGGAGATCACTTTTCAAACAGCATCATTCTTTATAAACACACGTAACTATTATCTGCTTTACTACCAAGACTGAAACGACACATGTAAATGGAGATCGTTTTATATACAAAGCCATTTTATCAACAGAAATCTGGAACATTACAGAACCTGGTAACTACTTGTAAAGCTCTCCTACTCCCATTTTCAATTGATGAAGCAATTTTAATAACCAAAGATTCTGTTGATTTTTATTTTTAAGAAAGAGATGAAACCTGATTTGATGCTTAAAAAATATAACAGTACAGGCCGCCTGGTGTTATAGAGGTTAAGCTTTTGTGCTCCGCTTCTGGAGGCCTAGGGTTCACAGGTTCAGATCCCAGGAGTGGACCGACGCACCACATGTCAAGCCATGCTGTGGCGGGATCCCATATATAGCAGAGGAAGATGGGCATGGGTGTTAGCCCAGGGCCAATCTTCCTCAGCAACAAGAGGAAGATTGGCATCGGATGTTAGCTCTGGGCTAATCTTCCTCACCAAAAAAAAAGAAGGGCCTGCCCGGTGGTGTAGTGGTTACATTCGCGTGCCCTGCTTCTGGCGGCCTGAGGTTTGTGGGTTCAGATCCCGGGCACGGACCTACACACCACTCATCAAGCCACACTGTGGCAGGTGTTCCACATAAAGTAGAGGAAGATGGGCACGGATGTTAGCCCAGGGCCAATCTTCCTCAGCAAAAAAGAGGAGGATTGGCAACAGGTGTTAGCTCAGGGCTAGTATTCCTCACAAAAATAAAAAATAATAGTAAAACTTGCTTCTCAGTTTTATCAGTGTTAATTCTTATAATTTGGTATTTATCTTTTTCCTAAACTGGATTTAGTGTTTCAGATCTCTGTTACTCATTTCTGTCTCTAAAACTAACAATGTTGGAGCAGTGACCTTTTGACAGTTAGGACCTAAAATTTTAAACTATGATGATTAACCTATCAGGTTGATTTAAATGCATTAAATCAGTGTGTTATTAGGGAAATAAAAACAAATCCCCAAGCTCCAGTAGTTTCTTATTACCTACTACTAATAACACAAATTCTTCAATCTGGCATTCAGGACTCTCGCCCCATTTAATAAACATACCCACCGTGGGATCTTTTCTCTAGCAAGATCGCTTCAGTTATTACATATTAATTCCTCACTTCAAGCCTTTTCCAAAGATCCCAACCTATGGAGATTTTCTTCCTAGAAAAGGTCTTTTTTAGAACCACGGCTTTCTTTAAAATTGGGACTTTTTTCCTTGATGTGCATGTGTAATCAATACTTCCGCATGTATCAACTATGATTTATGTCACTGTTTTGGACAATATTTTTCAGAGGCACATAGAAGCTAACATTCCTTGAGCTCTTACCATGTACTACATACGCCCTGTGAAGCACCTTTTCTCAATTACTCCTCACAGCAATCTTACGGAGTAAGAACTATTATAATCCTCATTCTGTGGTTGAGAAGCTGAGGCATGAAAGTTAAGTAACTTTCCCAAGGTGATACAGCCAGTAAGTTGTGGAGCTGGATTTGAATCTTTATTTTTCTGATTCTACAGGAGTGTGCACTCTCAACTACTAGGTATGCAGCCTATGAGAACTGGGAGGGACCTCAGAAATCCTGGAGTCCAAGTCACTAATTTTACAAATGAGAAAACTGAGGCCCTCGGAGGTTAACTGATAGCTTCTTCCTGGCCGAGCCTGGATTAGAATTCCAGCTCCCTGACTTGTAGTTTGGTGCTTCCTACTACACCACATTTCCCTGCTCTGCAGTGACAGAATCTAGGAAGGAGAAAGAGGAAGAGCACAGAGATTTAAAAGCATATGAGTATACATATAAAAAAAAAATTACCTGAGACGGCAAAAACGAAGCTGTGAAAAGTTAAAGATGGAGGCAAAGAGGAAAGCATGGCATATGAGAGAATAAAAGTGGTAGTGAAGAAGACACTTGAGAACCGACAGTTCCCCCAAGCCAATCCCCAGGTGCTAATGTTGGCCCATTACAGCGCTGTTACTCCTTGGTGTCACGCTACTTCATGTTGTATGACCTTTTCATCTAGGAATATGTTTCTCAATGGGAACATCACTGACACTTCAGATACTTTTTCTGTTGTACAAGATTGCCCTGCATATTATAAGTGGTTTAGCCTTAATGCCTGCAGTAACACCTGCAGTCACTTTGCTATCCAACTCCCACAATACATAAACACATTTTCAAATGTCCCCTAGGGACTGGTGCTGTTTCCTGTTGAGAAACACTGGTCTACCTTATACTTTCCTGAATTTTAAAAATATAACATGTAAGAAAGCAAAAACTTAAGCTACTCTATTGTTTTCTTCCTCTCCACATTGTTTTTCTTATATTTGTTCCAAATCTTTGAAGTATTCATAAAATTCTTTTATTTTTTAAATTTCTAGGCATTAAAAAATAAGTTTTGAAAGAATAGGTTATGTTTATAATTTTTTTAAGGTATAGATTAAATTAGTTAATAACTCCCCTAGACAAGGTTTAAGATAACACTGAAGCTAGGAAAAACTTCCTTACATTTTTACTAATCTTTGCGAACTTTTATCTTAGCACTCCTAGTCAGTACATTCTCAGTCAAAAGTTGTCAAGATAAGAGAAGGCGAGTGGGTTGGTAGGGTAAGATTTTTAACTGGCATATAATCAATAAAGAATGAGACATGAGTGAGTCAGGTACCATGTACTAGTCTGGGAGAAGCAACGTGGCGTCGTGGTTAAAAGCACGGACTTTAGAACTAGTTGTGACTGAGTTTGAATACAAGGCCTGTCACTTAACAGTGGGTGACTGTGAATATAAATGGAAAACTCCTAGGTCTGAAAGCACAGGCTCAGATAAGGGAAGATTGTCCTAGTGCTGGCAGAGCAAGAATTTCTAGAAAGAACTAAAAACAGACATTCTGGATTAAGGTTTGGTAGGCAGACTTTTGGCCCCTATGATCTTTGCTGCCTGGTGTCACTCCAGGGAATATGTTACATGTCAAAAAGGACTTTGCAGATGAAATTAAGGTTACTAATTGGTTGACCTTAGAATGGAGAGATTATCCAGGTGGGCCTAATGTAATCATAGGCACCCTTAAAAGCTGAAGAGGGTGGAGGTGGGGATTGCGGGGAGGGGGCAGTGGCAGAAGGTAGTCAAAAGGTACAAATTTCCAGTTATAAGATAAATAAGTACCAGGGATGTATGTACAACATGATGACTATAGTTAACACAGCTGTATGAGATATAGGAAAGCTGTTAACAGAGTAAATCCTAAGAGTTCTCATCACAAGGAGAAATTTTTTTTCTTTTCATTGTATTTATATGTGATGATAGATGTTAACTAAACCTAGTGTGGTAATCATTTCACAATATATGTAAATCAAACCATCATGCTGTACAACTTAAATTTATACAGTGACGTATGTCAATTATTTCTCAATGAAACTGGAAAAAACAGGTTGTAGAGGAAGGGAAGAGAGTTTGTGAGATGCGACAGAAAGGGAAATCAGCGAGATTCAAAATGTGAGAAGGATTTGGCCAGCCGTTGCTGGCTTGAAGAGGGAGGGAGCCATGACCAAGGAATGTGGGTGGACTTGAGAAGCTAAAAATGATACCCAGCTGATAGCCAGCAAGAAAATGTGGATCTCAGTCCTCTAACCACATGGCATTGAATTCTGCCAATAACCTGTATGAGCCCGGAAGTGGGTTCTCCCCCAGGGTCTTCAGATAAATTCCAGGACAGCCAACACCTTGACTTCAGCCTTGTAAGACCCTAAGCAGAGAATCAAGGCAAGCCTGCCCAGACTTCTATCCTACAGAACTGTGATATAATAAATGGGTGGGTTTTAAGCTGCTAAATCTGTGGTAATTTGTTACATAAGCATTAGAAAACTAATACATAACGTAACCGAGCCAAAAAAAAGCTAGCTTTCACTTTGAGGGTTTTCTACTAAATCTTGGAGATCTTGAGCTTCACTCCTGATGGATGCAGGAGCTAAGAGGGACAGACGATAAAGCCTAGGTCCACCCAAAGTGGGGAAATGCAATAGGAAACCCTTGTATGAAACTGGAATCTCAAAAGACCACATCTTCAGTATAAGGACACATGGCAATAAAAAGCCTTTCTGAGATAAATTTCAAAGATAAGAAATTTAACTAAATCCCCATGAACTAACTGATAAGACTATAAAAGGCCAAGGTATAAGATTTCTTTTACTATTCTTCCCACATTTTCTTTATCCATCTATACCTTCGGCCCCTAAACAACTTTAATATCCTGTCCAGTATGAGTAAAGAACTATGCAGGATGCTTTCTCCATAGTAAATTCACTGTTGTTTATAAACAGACATATCAAGTCTACCGTTTAAGACTTCATAAAAATAGAGAGGAAGCAAAGAATCAAAGGCTGGGAAGTTTTCAACTATTGTGATACAGTTTATGGCAAGAAACTTTTTGGAATTCAAGTATAAGAAGCATGGCTCTATATGGTGAAGCTAATTTTAGTAATATTCTGTGAGGCACTAAGTGTAGTGAAAAGATCATATTAATTGACATAGGAATGAGGATACATATTGTCTCTGTCTATCTCTCTCTGATCTAGTCAAAAGTTTAAGTAAAAAAAAAATTTTCAGGACTCTTAAAATTTATTTAGCCCTCTTTATGCATAAATCCAGACATATCACCATAAAACCTCATTGCTAACAGGTATCTTCAAATCAAATAATTGTTCTGGTAATGGTTTAGGCAATCTGAATTTAGAATCAATAAACCAATTTTACTTTCTATTACATAAACACAAAGGGACATTGTCGCTCAGCTCTAAATACATGATATCTAAAACACATAGTATCTAAACATCTTCATTATACAAAGATCTGTGCAAAACCAAAATCAGTTCATGCTCTTATTAGTCAGTTTTAGGACAAATTTCAGACCTGTTTTGATGTAAATATCTTCTCATGTCTTCTGTTTTTTGAAACTCCCTCATGGGTACTGGCTTTATTGGTGAACCCTAGGCCAAAAAAGCAGAAATAAATCAATTTAACACTTGTGTCCAGAATACAATGATTATACAGTTCACATTCAACTTGGCATTTAGGGATCCGTATATTACACCAAAAAATATTTTAACAGAATCTTCAAATGTGAATATTGATGTTTAAAAGCATTATAGGCTATATTACTGCTTTGGTAAATACAAAAATATTCATAATGACCATACAGTGATATGTACTAAGTGATAAGATGTTAGAGTTGGAAAGGATCTTAGAGGTCATCTAATATAAACATCCATCTAGAACAGGAATTCCTACCTACCCTATCCTGATTTCACTCAGCCTCTCTTGAATATTTCTAATGATAGAAAGTTCATTGGGCAGATTACATTTCTTTACTTCTTCATCATCACAAATTATTACTTATGTTAGTCATATAAATAGTCCTAGGGATGTTGATGGAATATCAAGATAAAGCAAAAAGTAATTTTTATTTATGGTAAAATATAGTATCAATTAAAAGAGAAATATTACCAGCAATTTAATTTATTTATAAACTATAAGGTAAAGGTCATTTCAAAAAACATTACTGACGAAAATTAAACTAGCTTAAATGATATGGACCACATACTAAAAAATAAAATTATAAATCAAAGGTAGGGGCTTACAGGTTATCATAGCATATATTTTGTCAAATGAGAATCTATAGAAGCAATATAATCTTATTTTAACACCAAAAATAATCATCAAAATGGGTATTCTTGAAGGGAAAAATAAGAAAATAACTTATCTAAAAAAGATACCTAGTCAAATGTAAAACTATTCATAGTCTACCTCCAAGAAACAGGTACATCACACATAACTAGAAAATCTTTGGTGAGTTACTTCAAAGAGCTAAAGCTGACTTCCTTAAAGTCTGGGCATGAGGATCACATAAAATGAGATACAATTCTAGAATCCTGATGAGAGAATAATATTCTAATTTCAGTGAATATGGCTTTTTTAAATAAACAATAATCTCTCCTAGTATGTTAACATCAGTGCCTTATCACCCTGGTTTTACCATACCGCAATTATTTAAAATCATTGCAAGAGGTACATGAAATTTTCACAAAAAAATGAATGTGACATTGGTTTAATTTTTAAAATAAATGTAAGTCATACCCTATTTTATCATAATACCTCTATGTATGTGAGAGGCATTACAATAAAATTAAACAACAGCAGAGTGTTTAAAATCTCACGCAGATTAGTTTTTTAACAACCCATTTTTAGATAGAGTTCAAGAATATAACAAAAAATTTATTCACTGGTTGCGAAACCATCTAAAATAATACTGTTCATCATATTTTTATAGATACCAAATTTTAGAAAGCCTTATGACACAGAATCATATAGACTACCATCCATAATAGGTAGCTGGAATTTAGAAAACAAAATAGCCAACATAATAAAGAAATGGTACTATAATTTTTCACCAGTAGTATAACAGGCATTTTCACTTTCAGTAGAAATACCTCATCTATTCAGCCTAATTAATCATAAAATGATCAAAGAGAAAGACCACAAGAAAAGAAAAAGGATTCCCTTTAAGATTATAATGTGCATTGTTAATTTTAATTTTATTGCAAAGTAGTTGCTCTTTGCTCCATCAGGGATGCTTATAGCCTGAACCACAAGTGGTTGTCTCTGAGCCGCACGACTTTGATTTATATAACTTTATCCAACTTTAAATATAAGAGTGTCTTCTGAACACCAACAAAAAATAGTGTTCAAAGCCTTCTGATAGAAAAACCAAACGGTTTTTTTTAAAGAATGATAATATCACTCCATAACATGTCCCACTTGAAGTGATTATTCCTTATTTCTAAAAGGCTAAATACATCATTCTCCAAAAAGGCCCCAAGCATTTCTCAAATAACCCCCGCTCAGAGCCTGGGACCAACTCCAGACATTAACATCACACACACTGCAGCTGAGCCATTTTATTATGCTGACTAGATATATTGAAGAATGCTATTTCTACTTGAGACCCTTGGGGAATTGGCAGAGATTCTGCAGTGGGATGAATGCTCATTTGTTTTCTAAGGCAACTCAATGCTCCACTATAAGAGACATCCAAGAATTTTAATGGCAAACAATTTATATTCTGTGTGACTTAGCATAAAAGCTCCAGTATAATTAAGCTCATTATAAAAATTCTATAGTTAAGTTTGTATATTGCTCCAAAAGTCAGCAGTTTGGTTCAATTCTTAATTACTGATCAAACTATGATTTACTAGTTAGAAACAATAAAAAAGGAATAAGAACAACAATAAAAAAACATCATATTCCTTTGAATTTTCTTCAAGATGCTCTTAGGACTCTTTATTCCTTCTTTGAAATTTTGAAATCCGTCTTTTTATTTGAAAAATAAGCCTAAACCCTACTTGAGGCTACTGTCTGATTTTTAAAATAAACCTGAAAAATTCAGTAATAAAATTGAACATAAGAAAACAAATAATTACGCCCAAATGAACAACTCACTGATATGACAGAAACTTATACTATCATGAATTGATTTTACTAGAGGATAGCAACATATTTAGGCTTAAATGTGAGTACTACCTCATGAGAGATTCGTCGTTGTTCAATATATGCCATAAACTGTGAACTGAGGCTGTCTGAGTCCAGGCCCTTGGGCTGTCTCACCTCGTCCTCTTCTTCCTCTGCAGTACAGCTGTCAATGTAGTCAATCTGATCCAGATCATGTTCCACTGGCCACACCATACACACACCAGAAAACAATATTAAATTAGATGGCCAACAAAAGACATTAAATTGCATTCTTTCCTTTTCCCTAACATTTTCTATTCTGAAAGTGGGAGGAATGAGAAGTTTGAAATATGTAAGCCTTTATTGTTTGGTCCATGGTCACTCACAAAAATAGGCTCCAAAAAAGTCTTAGTTCTAATTCACCAAAGAATGCAGTAATTGATGGTAATTATTGGAATACAGACCTCTATATTTGTTTTTTCCGTGAATAGCTCTTTACTGTTTTAAACAAGACAGTTTGAGTTTGTGAGACAAAGAGAGGAAGAAAAATTTGTAACGATGTTTAAGTTTTTTTCCCATGTTTTACATTTGGGGCTCAATCACATCTCTTCAAGGAGCTGGGAGGCAGAAAACCTAACACAGTCAACTCAAAAGAAAAGAGAAAGGGTAGGAAGAAACTGAACTTGGAGATAAAGAAACACACACTACTGTTTCCCTTCCTGTAACTGTGGTCCATAATTAGAACAAAGATTTTCCTATTTAGAAAATTATTTTCTAGAGGTCTGCATTGTAGATATTTTGTAGCAGTTTGTGGATGGAAGGAAATCAATTGAGGACTTTTTCTTCTCAAAATGCTTTGAGGTGAGGAGAAGCATATTAAGAAGATAAAGCCACATCATTATTTCTTCTAATAAGTTTGGGAGTGCCCCATTATTTTTAAATTTAAAAAGTAACTATTTTAAAAAGCTAGTTAAAATGGCACACTAGGAAAAATAACTTGCTACTAAGATGGTTTCTCCAGAGATGTATTAAACCCCAGCCATTACTGTATGATGTTCTATAGACTACCCAAAAGTTGTAGTTGCTGGTAATACTGAACTTGGAAAAGTCTACTCCTCAATTTAGTTTTGTGATTCAATGATTTCTAAATAATTCCATAACTGCCATTAATATAAAAATGAATTTTGAGTTATTCAAGTTAAATAATAGGTAAAAGGATAAAAAGTTTATAAGTCTACACCCACATTAGAAACCAGGTACATAAACGCATTTTTTTCAGTGTGATACAACTTGTGTGACTAAATAAATGGTTCATTTTATGACTACTTCCCAAGAAAGCAACATCAGTTTTTCATACTATCTAGACCAGGGCTGTCCCAGAGAAATAGAATGCAAGCCACAAAAGTGAACCACATATGTAATTTTAAAGTATCTAGTAGCCACATTTAAAAAAAAAAAAGTTAAAAGGTGACATTAATTTTAATAATGTAGTTTATTTTATCCAATATATCTAAAATATTACAACATATAATCAATATAAAGTTTTATTGATATTTTACATCCTTTTTTTCATGCAAATCTTCAAAATTCGATGTGTATTTTATATTTATAGTACATCTCAATTCAGAAAAGCCACAATTCAAATGCTCAATAACCACATGTGGCTAGTGGCTACCATACTGGACAGCACAGATCTAAACAGTACTGTTAGTCTGAAATGAACCGATGGGAAAGATATCTCATACGAAAGCAAGATTAAAAAGAAAACTACTGAAATGTGAATGGAATGATAAGTGTGATAAGGAGTAAAAAAGAATATAAGATGATAAGGAAAAAAAAGACAGCAAACCACTTAATTGAAATCATCATTCAGAGATGAAAGCTCTTATATAACATAATGGATTTCTGAAAAATCAAAGTCATTTCTCCCTTACAGCTGGCCCTCAAAATTTGAACATTAGGATTTGGTAATTCAAACTAGAGCAATAGTGAATGGAACGCTAACATCAAGAGTTTGCCTCAGAAGCACAAAGAAGCAGAAGGAGCTCTGCCTGTTAACAAACTATAAAAACAATTACAAACTAACAAACTTTTTTATCAATTTAAATCACAAATTTTTAAATACCAAATTAAGAAAAACTCAGATTCAGATGCCCTTGAAGAGTACAATTCCAGATGAAAGAAAAGGTAAACATCAAGAAATGCCCTGAATTCCCAAAAGAGGTCAAATAATGACCACAGAGAGAATCTTAAAAAAGGAGAATAGCATCGTCATATGCCCCATAATAATGTTTTGGTCAATGATGGACCAAATATATGATGGTGGTCCCATAAGATTAGTACTATATAGCCTAGGTGTTTAGTAGGCTATACCATCTAGGTTCACATAAGTACTGTAGAGGAGGAAGAAATTTCCCCCTAGCCTTGTAGGTTCTTCTGGCTGGTCTAAGAATTAAATTGACATGAAACAGATTAACAGAAAAACAGACAAAAGTTTAATAATATATATACACGGGAGAAACCCGGGGAAACCAAGTAGCTTGCCAAAATGGCTGAAGCCCTCAGCTTAAATACCATCCTCAGCCAAACACAAAAGAAGATGTTGGGGGTGGGGAGAGTCAGGGACTTCAAAGGGAAGGAAGGCAATTCACAGGTACATGAAAAGGAGTAAAACGTCTGGAAAACAAGCGTTTGGCAACACAGAAAGAGAAGAACACAGAGGGGAGCCCAACAAACAGGCTTTTCCAGGCTCCTCCCTAGTCTACTACTTAGTTCATATTCCACTAAGGTGATAGTTTGCTTCCTGAAACAGGTTTATTTGAATTCTTTTAGGCAGTTAAGGGGCAGGTATCTGAGTGTTTTGTCTCTTAATCAGCCTAAAATAATCCTCATGTTAAAGAGACACATTTTGAGGTGGCAAATTTTGTTCCCCTTCCGTACATTCTATGATATTAGCACAACGACGAAATCACCTAATGATGCACTTCTCAAAACATAACCCCATAGTTAAGAGATGTATTACTGTACTTCAAAAGAAGATTGTGGTAAGTCAAGATTAACAAAGATCTATTCCAGGTAAACTGTCTTTAATAAAGTTGCCTTCCAAAATAATAAGAGAGAAACGTATTTTAACTGCAAGCCTGAAAACATAGAGAAATTGAAATTTAATCCCAATGGAAAACAATTTTTTCCAATCATATGAGAAGACGAAATCTTTAAAAGAAGAGTTGAAGAAGCTACAGATACACAAACAAAAGGAGTGGCTGTGAAAGAGACCACTGAAAAAGAGTGATTGGAAAGACTCTGGATGTCATCAAGAATTATGTTTACCTCCACCATTTGTTACTACTAAACTGCCACGATTCTCTTGGTACTGGCTTTCTCTTCGTAGTCTTTGTTCTTTAGTAATTTCTGCTACTCGAAGAGGCAGATCTGAAAACTCATCTGTAGGCTTAAAAAATAGCAGAAATATTTTAAAAAATCATTTCAGATGTTTTTTCATTATTTCAGATCACCATTTCATTTAATATAAACTCATTAAAATTTATATTTAATAAGAAATAGCAAAAAGTTCTGGAGATGCAGTGGTGACAGTTTCTCAACAATGTGAATATACTTAAATGTCACTGAAATGTACACTTAAAAATGGTTAAAATGGTAAATTTTATGTTAGTGTATTTTACCACAATTAAAAAAAATAGAAGGGGTATATATGACCCTATAAATATATATATGTACATGAATTTAAAGTATCTACATATGTTATATGCATGGATACAGCCACAAGTATGTATACACTGACCCCCACACAAATACACAAATGATTCCAAATTACAAACAGGCTGTGGTCTAAAATTGATTTGCTTTGGACTCCCGATGAAACAATGTTATAAAAGGTAGGTTGCCAGTCTTGCTAACAAAAGTTTATTTTATCACTTGCTAACAAAAGCTTATTTAATCATTTAACCCAATTTGTAGCTAAAATATTATACCTTAGTAATTAAAAAAAAGAGAAAACATAATACTACTAGTAATTAAAAGAGAAAAATGATATAACTAGCTAAGGAAGTTACTTATTTATCTTGAGCATGTGGATATTCTTCACTAACGTTCCCATCTCATTACCCATTAGCCTAAAGTCCTGTTTTCTCACCTTCTAGCACCCCTTCTACCACCTCTGCTGAAGCCCCTCAAATTCCAGGCTTCAGTTGTAACTGGCTCAGTTCCCGTTTGGCGTTCCAGGATATAAAACTATTTATACAACGAGGTCACAAACATGTAAAATACACATGGTAAAAAGATGGTAAAGAAACCTAACAGTATTTTTGATGGTAGGACTATGTGGGATTTTTACCCCTCCTTTGGCTTTTCTATATTTTATGTAATGAGAAATTGAATCCAATTAAGATACTTTCCATTTTCACCATCTTATTTTCCCTTAATCATGAGTTATAATGTCCAGAATAGAAGAAATACTTACTTCATTCCCTGACCATCTCTTATCACCACTGTCCACGCTATTGAAACCTGAATCAAGGGCTCCATAAGGGCGACCTGAGTACAGTTCTTCATGGCTGCCAAAGAAACTAGTTGTCATTGCAAAATTTGACATTTTAAAAATTAACATTTGAAATAAATCAGATGCAATTTTACTAATAAACATTTTCATGGCATTTAGGGACTTTATTTAGAAATAAATGGGCACTCTTTTAACTTTCTAGTATGAAAAATTCCAAATTAAAACAAAGTAAATAGTGTAATGAGCTCCCATGTACTCATTACCCAACTTCAAAAACACCAACATTTTGCCATTCTTGTTTCACCTATTCCTCCACCTATTCCCCTGGCCCCCTCACTTGTTTTTATTTTTAAATAGTACTCTTTTTTTAAGGTAAAATTTATCACACATATTGAAATGCACACACCTTAGCTGTGTAATTTTGACAAATGAATACATCTTTGCAACATACACCTCTATCAGGATATAGGACGTTTCTACTTGGCTAGAAAATTCTCACACATCCCTTCTCAGTCAATTCCCCTCATCCTACCACTGTGTGCTCCTAAGAGACAACCACCATTCTAATTTTTCTTTTTTGCCTTAAATTAGTATGGAAGGCAGAATAATGGTCCCCAAAGGCATCTAAGACCTAATCTCTGGAACCTGTAAATATGTTACTTTACATGGCATAGGGGGGTAAAGGTTGCAGATAGAAATCAGGTTGCTAATCAGCTGATCTTAAAATAGATTATCTTGAATTATGTGAATGGACTGAATGTAATCACAAGCGTCCTTAAAAGTGGAAGAGGGAGGCAGAAGAGAAGGTCAGTGTGATGCAAGGCCGGCTTGAAGATGGAGGAAGGGGACTAAGAGCCAAGGAATACAGACAGCCTCTAGAAGCTGAAAAAGGCAAGGAAACGCATCCTACTCAAAGCCTACAGAGAAGAAGACAGCTCTGCCAGCATCTTGATTTTAGCCCAATGACACCAAGATTTAGACTTCAGACCTACAGCACTGTAAGATAATAAATTTGTATTGTTTACATCTCTAAGATTGTGGTAATTTATTACAGCAGTAAAAGAAAAGTAATATAATTAGTTTTAATTATTCTAGAACTCATAAAAATGGAATCAGATGTACTCTTTTTTTACTCAGCATGATGTCAGTGAAATTCTTGATGTTTTTAATACTTTAGAGTAGAACAGATGAATTATATGGTAAGTGTAGGTTTAACTTTCAAAAAAACTGGGGTGAATATTTCTAAATGGATACAAACGTTGAATCACTATATTGCATACCTGAAACTAATATAATACTGTATGTCAATTATACCTCAATTAAATTTTTTAAAAAGTCTTGAATCAACGGAGAAACCTGTCCTAAATGGCAAGTCTAAATAGCTTAAACATGTCATGCCTCTCCGAAGGAATTAGTAATTATAGATCTAATGTATTCCAATCCCTATAATAATCCCTAATTATGCTCACTAAATTAATCTGTCTTCTATAATTTCCATTTTTTCCACAGTTATGTTACTTTATTTGTAGTTGTTTCAGAATGTCCTAGAAATTTATATATATATATATATTTAACTTATATATATATAAATTTCCTTCAACTCTTCATGCACTAGCGAATGAGATTTTGTACCTTCATATCTTTCTCATTGAGGTACAGATTAGTGAAATTGCATTGTGGTTAGCAGTACATTTATTCAAAATGTCAGAAGACCTTGGTTCTAGCTCTGGATCCCTGTACTACCGGGCAGTTCACTTAACCTTTCAGAACCTTGGTTTCTTCAATATGATCTTTAGCAAGACAGGAATGTTAGGATTAAATTGGTTCTAGATCACAGTAGACAGCTAGTAAATATAATACTTAATATTTATATAGGCTTTACGGTCAGCAAAGCACTTTCAGACACAGGTCATTTGATCCCCAGAACTAGTGTTCGAGTACAAACAGGGTAAAGATCACCATAATAAGTCTAGTTACTATCTGTCACTTTACAAAGTTAATTTAATATTACTGACTATACTCCCCATGCTGTACATTACATCTCCTGACTTATTTAGTTTATAACTGGAAGTCTGTACTTCAAGCCTTCTTTTATCTCTTAGCAAACATACATACACATCTCCTCCCACGTTTTTTTGATATGTTTTTAAAGTAATATGATGAGGATTGCTATATTGAAAAAAAATTAGTCCAAGACTAATTAGTCCTCAAGATTAAGGACAGAGTCACAGAGAGAAAAACAGGTTCTGCAATTAGCCCTGCAGCCTCAATTAAAGCTCATTATTCATATAAGTGATGATGCTTTCTCCCCAGTCTCTACAGGCATACCCTCACATACACATACCCAGAAATCGCTATTTTGTCTTACACTCAAATCTCCAAGGCAGCAGTAGCAGTTTAATGTTCCCGCTCTGCTATTTCAGGACAGAAAACCTCTTCCTTAGCAAGGATTACTAACTCCAAGGGAGAAAATCAACTAGTATATATATAAAATAAAAGCTACTTTCATTTGCTATACATCTTTTAAGAGTACAGCAGAACACTCTTAATGAAAATTTTAAATAGGAAAAACAAAACTTTCTTCAATAAATAAGAAACAAGATTTCTATATTACAAGCAATTGACTGAGGTAGAAGGAAAAAGAAATAAAGAAAGAGAAGGAGATAATGAATGAAGGAAATAAAAAATTATTGGCAATAATGGTCCAGGTCCCCTCATATGCTCCTCACTGCCAAAATCCTTCCTCCAAGAGGGGCCTAGATCTCCCACACAGTGTGTCAGACCCACTCCCTACCATATGTCAAAACCTTTGATGTCCTCCTTCACATCACATACCTGCTTTCAGTCCTCTCAGAGTTAAAAGTCTTAGGACTGAGGATGTTCTTGGTAGGAATCTTTTATGGGTATGTATGATTTCGGTTAACTTCTCCTTGTATATTTGTGTAAATATACTAAAACCTGTATTATTGTATGCTTAAACAACCAGGTTAGAGCTGGTGTTTTAAATATCCCTCAAAGTGTCTATGCAAATCTTCAACCTAACAGTCAGACCAAAAAATCCAGAATGCCATTGCAAAGTTGTTTCTGATGACTTTAAGCAGAGGAAAGCTAGGAGGGAAATAACATTTGTGTGACCAAACTGACTGTTCATTCATTCAATAAATACTTGTTGAGCATCTACCGTGTACGCCAAACACACAGCTAAGCTAGGAATGTGGTGATGGAGAAGAAAGGCGTGGTCTGTGGCAAAGGGCAGAAATAGATGCCTTTGGAGTAACACTTAATTTCCCTGAGAAATTGTGTTCTGCATAAATAAAATTTTCAGATTGCTTGAGATTATCCCTTTATAATACCATAAACACTTAAGTATTTAATTCTAATAATTTCTGATGCAAAAAATTTAAACTGTAATGCATATTCCCCTTTACTGGAAATGATATACCTTAGCATTTTAATGAGCATCAATCATCGTACAGTGCTAAAATATAGTAATAACAAAATATTACTGAAATATGGACGGTTCTTTGCATATATGCTAAATGGTGTCAAACTGCTGTTTTTAGAGCTTCACTGCTTTAAATATATCTTATTTAAATATCTTGTTAAAATTATGAAATATACCATATAGATAAAAAAGAATATTTATAAGACACAGCTTTTAAAACATGATGAGACATTATTACCTTTAAAGCCCCTTATGCCTCTTGCACACTGAATCTTCTTTCCATACAAACTTGAATTTTTTGTTTAATACGCGTTTGTTTTTTACTGTTTTATTTTTTCCTCCAAATTACTTTTTGTACTTTCAATATGTCTGCTTTTAGAAACTCTACCAAACTAGAAATTGGTTAATCTGTTTTAGATTAGGATACTGAGAAGCAAGCTCACTGGGACTCTGCTTTAATGTAAAATGTGACAGGTTCTAAGAGAATGCCTGAGGGGTTCTCTTTCGAGTCAAGTCTATAAGCATTACTGCACCTTCACTGAGACAGCTATTTTGCCTGTTTAAAGGCCTTCTGATTTTAATTCTTGCTCCTTAAGATTGTTCTGGATGGTTGGGAATGCCAAGTGGATGACCTTATAAGTCAGGTGTTATATACCTGAGGGATTCACAGACTGAAAGATTCTGAAGTGACATTAATGGTCATCAAATCTAAACTCTTCACTCCTTATGGAAAAAATGAAGCCCAGCGAGTTTGAATGACCTGCCTTAAGTCACAGAGCTGGTTAATAGTAGAGCCATGGTTTGTATTCAGGTCACTCAGACTGGTGATTTTCAACTGGGGACCCCCCAGGGGATACCTAGCAATGTCCGGAGACATTTTTGTTTGTCACGCTGGGAGGGTGCTACAGATGCCGGGGTTGCTGCTAAACATCTTCCAATGCACAGGACAGCTCCTCACAACAACAAAGAATTATCTGATCCAAAATACCAACAGTGCTGAGGTATTTGAGAAACGCTGACTTAGAACTACACTTTGTCACATCTATGTAATCAACTTTTTACTTAAAAGAAGCATTCTGAGTAAAACAGTGTCAAAATAGGTTACTTCCCTTTAATCAAACATTCAGGCAGATTTAAGGGTCCAGTTTATTTGATTTCCCGTGAGACAGAGGATAAAAAATAGAACATACTCACCAGGAGCCAAAACCCAAGGGTCTCCTATCATAATCTGGCAGATCTGGAGCAATCTTACAAGCTTGTATGTTCAGGTATTTAAATATGTGGATTTTGCCTTTTATACATATCTAAAGAAAGTAACATATAAATGCAACCAAATTACTACTCATCTGCAATATATGTGTCCCTTTTTTATCACAATCAGCTTTTTACTTAATGTATATTGGAAATAGAAGGCATTTCTATCATAAAGTACATACAGTAATATTAAAAATCTAATACTGTTATAACAAATTATATTATTTTTTATTTTAGGTGTTTAAGTGATAAAAATATAGGTCTTTGTTTGTAGTTATTAATAAATTTCAGTAACATATAAAATAATTTATGATTACAAACACTGTTAGACTACCAAGGAAACTTATCCCACTGATTAGTCAGGCATAGTCAGGGATTTAAAGCATTGCTCCCCCATAGATAATACTGGCAACTTTTGCTTTTAGGAATCCAAAAACCATGTACAATTATGTTTTCAATCCTACTTTCTGTTTTAGAGAAAAGTAGGAAATGATTAAATATTAAAGTTATATATATATATTTGTTTTTACCCGTTGACTTCTGTCCCAGAAGTCAAAACACAAATTCTTTAGGATTATGAGACCCTTCTATAGTTATGAAGTTTACTCAAAAAATTTTTATAGTTGCTAGACAGAGGCTTGTATAAGACCATCAATCAACTGCAAAGTAAAAAAAGCTACAGTGAAAAAGGCGGGCTGGTAAAAATGTTTTAGATTGTAGGATGTCTCAAATCTATAGGTAAAGCTACCTTATAATTACTTTATTATTAAATAGTTTCATTCCAGTCACTGATAAACAAATGACCAAACTGACTAAATGAGGTACTTAAGATTTTAGAAAATAGGAAGGTACAAAAACAATGGTCAGACAAAATGCACTGATAACCTTTAGTTCTGAAAGCTGAGTGTTTTTGTGGCTAGCACTTACATTGTCTACATTCAAGTTTTACTAGAAAGAAATTAACTCAAATTTTATTAGAAAAAACTTTAAGGAAGAATCCCTCAACTTAAAAAAAGTCAACTTAGTGAAAGGAAAAACACTTCTGGAAACATTACCCATCTTCCATCCCGTTTATTCAAGGCTTCTAAAGAATACATAGTGTGTGTAAATTTATTTTAAAAGAACTTAATTTTCAACAGCAAGATAAATGCATCTAACTTAAGTTCTAAATCTCATCCTTGGTCACAACCTACTCCACATCGGCTATGGATTACCTGTGCGGGAGGAGACTGTAGTGGATTGTTATCAAGGGTGATGATCTGTAGGTGCCTGAGGTTCCGATAACAAACGGGGATCGTCGTGATTTTATTGCAGGAGAAGTCTAACCGTATCAAAGGCAACTCTGCCAGCTCTGCAGGGAGATAAGACGGAAATGAACAATTAATGATATTTCAAAACTAGACAATTTGTACAGGAGCTTCTAGAAAAATATAGTAGATTTAACATAAGTATTTACCTCTATTCTTTCTTAGTGATTAACTGATACAGCAAATTGGTATAAAATGAAATCTAGTTGCTTACGGACAGGAATACTAATGAAGAGCAAGCTGTTTGATCTCTCACAGAACTACAGAAGTCTCAGAACCTGGAGGCCTGATACCACAGGAAGGTGGGCTAACAGAGATGAGACGATAGTCTGTATAAAGAACCAGTTAGATGCCTGGGTCCCAAACCCCAACTCACGCAGTTGGGGCACCACCCCTCTCCCATCACCACAGGAGTCAACCAGTTATTCTCTAGTGAAATGGAACGGAAAAGCCCTGAAGTCAGGGTCCCCAGGCACAATGAAAAGTCAGGATGAGCTGCCAGCTGAAGATGGAGGATTTAAGTGAAAGTCCACACACTTAATGGCAAGAGGTCCACACTTTCCTACTCAACCCCAACCATCCCCAGCTCTTGAACGCCAGTAGTTAGGAATATACACAACAATGCTGAAGAAATGAAATCTCTCTCTGGAGAAACAATATAGTCCCATACAAAAGGCTTTTAGACACTGACATGGCAGTTTTCCCTCCAAAATACCCAGCTTGCTGCTTAATTACCATTATACAATTCCTGCCCAGTATATCTGGAACTTCTAATCAGCTCTAGACAGACAGTATATGATCCGCAGACCTTTAGAAAAGCCTCTAGCATGTAAGACGGAAATCAAAATACACAAACCAGTCGAAAAAAGGAACTCAGAAGAAACAGGTAATATATAGGAAACAGAAGAAAACTTTGAAAAACTATAACTAACATAAGAGGGCCAGCCCCATGGCTTAGCGGTTAAGTGTGCGAGCTCCGCTGCTGGCGGCCCAGGTTCAGATCCCGGGTGCGCACCGACGCACCGCTTCTCTGCCCATGCTGAGGCCGCGTCCCACGTACAGCAACTAGAAGGCTGTGCAACTATGACATACAACTATCTACTGGGGCTTTGGGGGAAAAAGATAAATAAATTAAAAAAAAAAAAAAAAAAGAACTAACATAAGATACTGAATTACTGAAACAAGAAAGGGATGTTTTAAAAAAAATCTCAGACTAACAAGCGTTCTTAGAAATGAAAAATATGATGGCAGAAAGTAAAAATTCAGAAGAATGGTTAGAGCATAAATGGTTGCAACTGTTTACTACCTGGTAAAACCAAATGTCAAAGAAATGAACAATAAAAAGATGAGAAAAATCATAGGATCAATGACAGGGGTCCAATATCCAATACACAAAATTCCAGAAAGAGAGAACAGAGAAACCAGAAGACAGGAAATCATCAAAAAGATATCAGACAATTTCCCAGAATGAAGGATGTGAATCTCTTGTTTGGAAAGAGGCTCACCAAGTACCTAGGACACTGAAGTAAAACAACTCATACTATGGCACATCATCATAAAATTTCAAAGCAGTAGAAAAAAAGAGATCTTAAACTCTTCCAGAGGAGGAAAAACTGGTCACAAACAAAGGACTGGAATTAGGAATGGCATCAAATTTTCAAGCAATAATTTTTAACAGTGAAAGCTTAAAGTGAACAAAGACTCGAAAACCTGAGAGAAAATAATTTTCAACCTAGAATCTATAACCAAACAAATTACTAATCAAGGGTAAGCAAAGAATAAAGGTATTTCTTTTCAAGCGAAGTCGTATGACCAGAACCTACTAGAAGATGCTCTCCAGCAAAATAAGGGAGTAAAGCAGGAAAGAGGAATTATTTGTCAATTATACCTAAATAAAACTGAAATTAAAAAAAAAAAGAAAGTAAGAAAGAAGAAGACATGGAGTCCAGAAATAAGAGTATTCAACACATAGGGCCGGCCCGGTGGCTTAGCGGTTAAGTGCGAGCACTCTGCTACTGGTGGCACGGGGTTCGGATCCTGGGTGCACACCCACACACCGCTTCTCCGGCCATGCTGAGGCCACGTCCCACGTACAGCAACTAGAAGGATGTGCAACTATGACATACAACTATCTACTGGGGTTTTGGGGAAAAAAAAAGGGGGAGGATTGGCAATAGATGTTAGCTCTGAGCCGATCTTTCTTTAGCATGGATGTTAGCTCAGGGCTGATCTTCCTCACAAAAAAAAAAAAAAAAAGAGTATTCAACACAGAAGAAAGACAGCCAGACAGCAGTAACAGAGAACCACCAGCCTAGACTGGAAGAGAAGGAAAAAAGGCTCAATGAGGGAGATTTGCAGGGGGGAAAAAAAGATAGGTAATCTGATTGGTTTGACTAATAAGGCTGCTGGAAAAAGAGGGAGGAATTAGTCACAGGTACAGAAAAAAACGAAGCAAATTAAAAAAAAGAGAGAAATTATTAACTCTAGAAAAACAACAACAAAAACAAGATGTATCAGCAAGAAAATGAAATCAGAGTATATCACTTGCATTGGCAGGGAACGTTATTTATGTAGCTAGAACAATGTAAACAATTAATGATAATTTAATCAAAAGTTGTGATAAGGGGCCGGCCAGGTGGCTCAAGTGGTTAAGTGTTCGTGCTACACTGTGGCGGCCCGGGGTTCGCCGGTTCGGATCCCGGGCGCGCACTGACACACCGCTTGTCAGGCCATGCTGTGGCGGCGTCCCATATACAGTAGAGGAAGATGAGCATGGATGTTAGCCCAGGGCAGGTATTCCTCAGCAAAAAGAGGAGGATCGGCAGATGTTAGCTCAGGGCTGATCTTCCTCACAAAAAAAAAAAAAAGTTGTCATAAACTAGACTGGGAAAATGGGAGGAAGGAAGTGAAGGTATGATGGCAACAGTGTAAGGAAGTTAAATCCTCATCTACCATAACAAGAAGCTGACATAAAGTGTCAAAGTTGATAAATCCAGCAATAGCTGTAAAAGCATATCATTTAGAAACATGTCAGCAAATACCAGTGGAAAGAGTCAAAGGAAATGAAGGTAGATGCTTCTGGCTATTGAAACTGGGGAGGGGGCACGGCTGAGGCAGGGGAATGCTATTATTTATTTTAAGCTTTTCAATACTATTTGACCTTTTGAATGTTGTAATATATGATTTGATAAAAATTGAAATTAATTTAAAATCAAAACAGCAATATAACAAAAGACGTAATATCTTATTGACCAAATCGTAATATGTTAGAGACAACCAATTAATGAACGTGAACTTCCATACCAACTTGTGTGGCTGTTCGAATACAGCTTTCCTGCCATCTCAGTTTAACTGACTATGCTGAGATTACAAAATAAGCTGATAAAAAACCATTTGAAACTATTTGTGTGACTCAATTTTTCTTGGTAATAACGCATTCAAAATAAGATACAGAAATAAATTAGGTGATAAAACTATTAGATTGAAATTGTCATCTGAAACCCTGAATTTTCATTTTCACCAAAACCCCAATGTTTTCATTAATTGATTTCATATTAAGTCAGTATTATTACATTAGTAAACCTTTAAAGATCAACCACAGTAGGTGGACCCTGAGTAGAGGGGTAATCCTAGATAGAAATTTTGGGTTATAAGGTCCTACTGTCATGATTTTGGTCAGTTCTGCTGAGGGCCTTCATGCACATTCCTGAGGTGGTAGAAGGCAGAACTAGGAGGAAATGAGAAATGCTCTGAAGATAAAAGATGTAAAGGTTACTGGACAAGCCTGAGAAGAAAGAAATGCAGGATTTTAGGAAGTGTGGTTGCACTAAGTGTATAAAAGTGGACTGGAAATGTCACTTTCTGAGACGCTTACTTGGGATCCAAAATGTCAAAGCTACACTAGTATGTTAGAACTAAATATCATACTGGATCAAACTGGTGTAAACATCTGGATTCTACACTGAAGCAAAAGTATCATTAGTTAATTCAATATTTATTGTACACTGGAAGTCATGTTTTGTAGAAGAACCTAGAGAATCACTGTCATGAAAACACCCTCTCAAGATTAATTGTCCTTGAAATAATTAATAAACATTCTGAAATGTTTACAGATGAATTTCTGGAAGTTGTTACAAGTTAATTTAGTGGACAGAGTAAGGGAAAGTGGATGGGAGTACAGACGAAACAAGAGCTGCCATGAGCTGATGCCTGCTGTAGCTGGGTGATTACCTGCTCTCCTTTAAATACATTTCCATAATAAAATTAAAGAAATATATATTCTGATCTAATAAAATAATGGTTCTCCCCATTTTCACTTCCTTTATAGGTTTTTCTTTCATGCATTTGGATTTTTGAAAGACTGATAAATTATACTTAATTCATTTGTTTAATCATTTTTATCACTCAAATACATACAGCAGAGCTTACAGTCAGCCTAAGATAATCAGTCTCCTGGAGCAGTCTCTCACTCCACTCATTATTCACTCTACACATCACCTCCACACAACCAGTTAATTAGCCTCCATCTGAACATTTCCAGCCAGTGAAGGATAAAGTTATTAAGTTCAAGTCAAGGCCATTTTTAAGTCAGTGCTAACTGCAGGAATGTTTTTCATTATACTAAACTATCCCCTGGCCGGCCCTGTGGCTTGGTGGTTAAGTGCGTGCGCTGCAATGCTGGTGGCCCGGGTTCGGATCCCGGGTGCGCATCGAGGCACCACTTCTCCGTCCATCCTGAGGCCGAGTCCCACATACAGCAACTAGAA